AAGTATCCCACATACATAATGTGATCGTTACAAATGCGTTGTTTCATCAATATAACCGGTAGCTATTGTGCAGCTGCAGTATAGATAGATTTATGGCATGATGAAGCTCATAAAGCATTAGTGGGTCTCTAACCTGTAACAGTCCAATAAAACTTGAGCCACTAATAAATAATAAATATACATATGAGTTTTAATAATGAAAACGAACAAAATAGGTGTCACGAAAGGAAGCGTCTTTTAAACGCTACTGCGTGTCGTAAGACGCTACTAAACAACTGCATATCGACCGCAACTTTGAATGATACAAAGCTGTCTAAGATTTGTTGGTGGATCGAAAGTGGAAGGAGTGATTTTTCGCGATATGTTTCCAAATAGTTAATTTTAAATTAACATATCTAGGGGTTAGTCTGGGTCTAGAACCGGCATTTGGATCATTTCGCGATCTGCAATGAGGTATCCTGATAAGGGAGCAGCTACTGCTACAAAGTTCGCAAAAAATTGTACACACCCAGAAGATGACTGGTTGACTATAAAAATTAAATTGTCAAGGAACATTATGGTGAGTTCGACTCAGGGTTCGACTAGACAATAATGCTCAATGTTTAAATGATTTCATGCTCGTGCTAATTAAAGCGGTCAGTTGTATTAGATTATTTTATTATGGCCTGGCAGTTTGTCTTTAGATGAACGTATATTTTCTCAAATTTGTCACAAACTTTGTAAGATTAACTGTGATGTACATTTCAGCATCTTTTGAACGAGGTATGACGGACGTCATAAGATTTCAAAAACGTGCACGATCGATCAGTGCTTCCGAAACGGAAAAAAGGGGCACTCCCCGAAGAGTGATGCGCACTCAGAGGCGATCATCATCGTCAGCAAAGAGTGAGAGTACTGAGAGGTCATAGAGCCGCCCCCACCAAAATAGCAAGAAATTCGCCTAGGAAATCTCCTAGAAATTATGGCTTTAAAAGAAACCTACATATACAATCAACTACCTACCCTTCAGTGGCACCTCATTAATTGGCACCATCCACCTCAACAGCACCCTCAACATCAATAAGAGCATTAACAGCACTCCCGCCAGCACCATATAAAAGTGAGTGTGATATTTAAAAAAAAATCACACTTTCGTGTATGTAAATATTACAATTAATGATCATTTTATTACCCATTCCACATGTTTACTGTAGAGTTTTGTGTTTAATATTTCTTTTGTAACTTAATTTTGTGCACTAGGTAAAATACTATAATACATACAGATTTTGATATTGTGAACATGCTGGAACCACTAAATTTAGTTATTCGTGGAGTCGCAGAATTGATTTTCTCCACCTGAAAGCTTTGGTCGCCCCTCATTACAAAACTTGTATGTTTGATTTTCTTTTGCGATTCTCAAGGTATCAGGGGACTTAATCATTATTGTGACATTTCATAAACAAATTCAACAGAACTAACAACTAATGTTTTTAAAAACAGTTTTTGGACTTAAAATAAATTAATCGATATGATTTTCGTTTTGGACGAGATAGATAAAAATTGCCTTTTTTTCCATGGCCACCTCGCTATTATGTCAATTACATATAACCGAGCATATAATTTATTTAAGATTAGAATATAAAAACCAGGAAAACCAAGATATTTCGAAAACTGTCAGGAAAACCAAGATATTTCGAAAACTGTCAGAGATAGGTATAGGACATTATTATCAAAAGTTCTTAACCCAGGATAAAAGATATAAAACCTGATCAAAATTTAAGTAATAATTTTGACAATATACTGATGCTTACAAGTGCCCAATTTTTCTTACAAATCGAATTATCTTTAAAACTACTAGTTTTTGGGATATTAACCATGTAACAAAAAAGACGTACAATTACACGTAGAATTCAAAAATGCATTCAAATACAAGGGGTTCTATTTTTAAAAAATGTACCATTTTGGCGCCCTAGTTTGTGGGCGCACCCTGTTTAATTCCAAATATTTTTAAAATGTTGAGAATATTCAACCATATCATAATACAAAAGCACTCCATCGAAAAATCTTATCTTCAAGGCATTAAGTTACTCCGCGCAATCGTTGATTCACCCTGTACAATATGTATTATACCTACTAAATGTAGCCCCGTTTGTATTAAATTATTAACTGATAATGGGTGGTGGAGTCTCCTCACTACGGAAAACTCAAAGCAATGTCTAAAGAGATTAAGAGCCTATTTGCGATTTTGCAGCAATTAGATACAGTTGAAATAATAGAAACTATGTCGGTTTAGTTCGGCCAACTAATTAAGGCAGTTATACAATATCATTAACAAGTTTCAAAAGGGTTTATATCCCTCTATAATATCTACAAACAACATTACGGTAGATATACCAAGTTCTAAATCCTTATGGTACCTACTCTCTCGAATTGTCGTATACAACTTTTGCATACAAAATATAAGTAATTAGTTTATAAAGGGTCTTTTAGTTCTGTTGAACTAGTTGTGATATCTGATTTAATTGAAATGCTTTCAGCTTTAAATATAGGTAAGCAAGTGACTTTAATTCCTCTATGGCAGATGAAAATTAAGACCCACAAGATATACGTAATCGTAAATTAACAGTACTGTATTTCAAATACGTAGTTAGATAAACGTTGTTTTGTATGCAGTTTATAAATTAGCGTTAGTAAAAGGGGTGCACCTAATGTAGGGCTGAGCAAGGTTGGAAATCTTACGGTGGCGTTGATGCTGGAGAGAGATGTCGCACATTAAGTGCGGATTCATGTCGCTTCACGCAGGAGTTTTCCTCGAATATAAACTTCGCACTTATTGAATTTGTGTATAATCGGCGATTACTGTTATCTCATGTCCGCCAATTACCTTCCACCGAATATCTCTTCAATCATTTTACGTGTTTCGCTACTAGATTAACACAACAGCCACGATTGAACTAGTTTGATTTGCAAATGAAGTGGTAAGCTGATGAGGGTGGTATGGTAGGTACGTCATCCATTCACCCCGCAGACTGGTATCTCGGATACACATCCAACATTGCATCTTATTGAGCCGTCCACATACCTATACTTCTCGCATACAGTATCGGCGACTAAATTTCGGTCTCTCGCTAGTCCCAGTCCCCCGGCGATTTTACGACTTTGAGGGACTGATGGGCTATTGGTTCATATGGTACTGTTTACTCGAGGGTACTGTTTCATTCGCCCGCCATTGCACCTTTGAAAAAAGCCTATGAACGTATTATCGAAGCTCGGACTCTCAGTCGCCTCTTCCACCATCTACGCGTGCTGAAATCGTTCAGTCCGTGAACTTCGATCGACACGACTTTCTACTCGCCACTTTTCACAAAAAACAAGAAGCCATCCGCCCGAATGCTTCTGGACCTCTGAAGTCCAGCCCCTTTTCACAAAACCGCTTCTGGTCTTAGCTCCGAAAATCCTATTCACCATGTCACGACCTGACACCATAAAAGAAAGTTACTCTTTAGTTACGTCACCTTAGGAATCCCAATCACAAAAATAGCTTCTAGTGATTCTTTTCTACTGCGTTGCATGTTCTTCCGCAAATATCTCACTGATGTTTTTTGCCTCAAACTAAACTACATAAAAGGCCCCTTACAGACACAACACTACATCTGACTTCCACGTAAGGTGTTGGGAAACAAATATGTCTCTTGGCCCATTCGAGACTTCGAGTTCGAAGATCCGATCTTATCTTTTATTACGGATATAACAAGTCCATTTTACCAACTCTATAGCGATTATTACAGGTTCCTTTACAAACTGCAATATTAACCGCTATGCAGGGTGATTTAAAAACTGCCCAAGAAGCGGAAATAGACTACGTTACTGGGTCAACCGAGCCATTAAAATGTTTTGAGTCACTGGATCATTAACTGAGTAGCCTACTTTGATCCAGTGACCCTGTTTAATCAGTCATCCAGTTTCATTCGTTGCAGGTATAAACCCCTAAACAGAATTCGTCTTATTTCCTTTTTTAGGTAACAACTAAACAATAGATACCTATGACCCCTCTTCAGTATAGTTAGTTCTTAGAGTACAGTAGCGAAATAGTATTGAAATCCTTAGTATTAATACCAGTGAAGATGACAGAATAAAATGACAGTTATGAGACATTGTGGAAAACTCAGAAAGAATAAATATTAACTAACGCTTCTTTGGTTGTTGTGTTGCAAGAAGCTGACGCCGCTACCAACCGTATTTTAGCGAACATTCTAGAAATCTCGATATACATCGAGGTGCCATGACAGATTAGTCATCGGCGATAAAGAACAAAGGCGGATGTGACGTAATCTTTCCGAGAAATATAACATGTTTATTAAAAAACATTTTGAAGCGTCCTTGAGCACTCGAAAACGTTCTAGAAATTGCTATATAAGCAAACCGAATTGTGTTTCGAGTCAGTTCTAACTTCGATGCACTTGTGTTATGTTATAAATTGTATGTGATAAATAATAATTACTGTTATAAATTAATGCATTTTAAGACTGCTACAAATGTATTGTTAGTTAATTTGTAAATAAATGAAACCGCGCAATTAAATGTACGTTACAGTATTTACTTATTTCATTTAAAGTTTTATTTTGTCTTACTGATTTAATGTTTAAGCCGAATGCATTTACGATATTAATTATGATTGTGCTGTATGTGCAGACAGACAAACGAACAAAGCCGCTTCCTCAGTTAATTAAGTCTGGAAAATGATAAAATGACTTTTAGAACTATACAAATATAAAATGGATTGGGTCAATATAAAAATCAGTGAGGATAGAATAGAGATTTTGTTTAGATATACAAACACACCGTGAAAAGCATGTACGTTTGACGTAAATAGAAGAAATCAGTAGGTAGTTACTCACGTTAATGGTCCTTAAAAATTAATCAGTTATATGCGCCTCGTTAAGTATTAACGGTAAGAACGTGACCTTTTTCGCTACCAATTCTACTTACGATATTAGGAAAATCTAAGGAACAGTTGTTATTATTAATAAGGAGGTTAACTAAGTGAACGATGACTAATCGTACAGATCCAGACTTGGGTCCCAAAAATATCAATGGATTACAGACGAGGTCTGTTGTCTTACAGCTTACTTCCGTCTTAACTGGTAAATTAATAAATGTGGTTATTGGCAATTTTGCTATCGGTATTTTTTTAGCTTCCCTGTTAGCACTTAATTCTGGTGTAAACTTTGGGTGGCCATCACCGTCACTACTGCACCTGTTATCGGACAATAGTGACTTTAACGTTTCTGAAGAAACTACATCTTACTTAGTGATGTTATCACCTGCAGCAATGTGTGTGGGTAGTCCAATTGGTGGAACGCTCATCGACAAAATTGGAAGAAAGCATACACTGCTACTTTTGGCTATTTTGCAAATCGTTTCGTGGGTATGTGTGGGAGTATCATCACAAGTGCCCCTACTTTTTCTCGGAAGAATACTCGCAGGCATGTCTGACGGAGTGCTAGGTAGCTCATTACCCGTGTACGTTTGTGAGATTTTGCAACCACGAATTAGGGGTTATTTCGGAAGCATGCCGACATTTGGAATTTGTTTGGGATCTCTCCTTATAAACATTTATGGATCGTTTAAGTCTGTTCGGCTGGCAGCGTATATTTCGATCTTATTTCCTTCGTTATTTATTATCATCTTTGTTACCGTTCCGGAATCGCCTTATTATCTTCTAATGAAGAATCGTGTCGATGATGCGCGAAAGTCTTTGAAAAAATTACGAAACTCCGACGAGGTAGAGACGGAATTGGTACAAATGTCCTTGGAGGTTGGCGGCGAAGGTTCTGAACCTGGAAAATTTAAAGACATTTTCACAGTACCAACAAATTTGAAAGCCTGCCTATTATTACTCTGTATCCGAACCCTACAGCAGTACTCTGGATTGAGCGCTTTGGGATTTTACAATCAGGTCATCTTCAAAGAAGCTAACAGTGAATTCTCTCCAGAAATCGGCTCTATTACTTGTGGAGTCGTAAAGCTTATATCGGGGGGTGTGGGGTTGATTATGGTTGAACGAATAGGAAGAAGGTGGTTACTCATATGCAGCATGGGAAGTAGTAGTATTATCTTGATATTATTAGGACTCTATTTTAGCTTTCACGAAAACCTTGGAAAGTCAAAGTTAGTATCGCTGTTACCAATAATACTTATGTTAATGTTCTTTTTCGTAAATTCGGCCGGTTGCATGATTGTTCCAAATTTAATTGTAGGCGAGATACTCTCGGTTAAAATCAAAGGTTCCGTATTGGGCATAGTAAATATGTACACTGGAATAGCTACGGGTACTTCGTCAAAGTTGTTTCAATTTTTGGCCCGTACCTTTCAAATGCAGACTCCTTTTTATACTTTTGGGGTAATTTGTATTGTGGGTGTCTCATTTATTTATCTATGTCTACCGGAGACTAAAGGAAAGACCTTTGGTGAGATTCAGGAGATTCTTAAAGGTAAACAAAGAGAGAAAATGCGTACCATTTATATTTATAAACTATAAGTCATTGCAATATTATAGCGTTGCTGTGATTATTAAAAATTATTTAGATATTGGTGTGTGCATTAGTTAGATGTTATTAACTGTTTGTGGTAAATATTACTTTTTTAATAAATCCAAGGCATGTAACTAAATAGTTTGCTGTCTTCTGCTACATATTGAAGTGATTGCACTGATTGCAGGGCATTTTTTTGTCGTTCGAGAACTCGCACAAACTAAAACAGAAGTACCATCCGCGAATAGCCTTATGAGTTCATTATCCAAATGAATCACGTGAATTATTGTTTAAATATACGACAAACACTGTGACCCCAAGATACTTCTTTGTGGAACGCCCATGGTAACGTCTCTAAACGACGAAAAATAAGCAGTAGCATCTGAGACCAACCTAACTTGATGCCTCCGTCCAATTGAGTAGAATATTCATATATACATAGGTACATTTTGTAATTTGTATAAACGCAATTTGTGAACAACGTCAAATGCCTTTGAATAGTCGAAAAAAACCTTATCCATTTTTTTTACCATACTGTTTATAAAATTAAGAATTGCATTTTGAGTGGAAAGTCCTATTCGAAATCAAACTGACAAGGGTAAAAAGTATTTTATGCTTTACTAGAAAATCAAGTAACCGCATGTGGAAATGCCATTTAAGTCTCCATTCCCTAATGCTGCGATGTGGTAGATTTAGAACTATGCCACGTTTATATTTACTTAAAAGAATCTCCATGCTTGTTCACTCGTACGGACGGTTCTAACTTTTGAAACTCCTTGTACAATGTGTACACTTGCCAACATCGCAAATAAAAACAAAATAACACCTAACCTATCTTTTTGTAAGGCTGATATAACCTAGAAATGTCTGGAAGCAAAAAGCTATTTAACTACAAAATTCCCAAACCGGTCTATTATGGTAGTAGTGTAGCCGCAGCGATTGGAGTTGTCTGCTTAATAAAGTATATTGAAACCTAATCCGACACGTTTTGAAAGGAAACGATTGAAATTATGTTTCAACAGAGAATGGGCTGGAGGCGAGACATACCGAAAGAAAGTATCTCTAAACGGAAAGGTTGTCATCATAACAGGTGCAAACACTGGCATCGGAAAAGAGACGTCGTTAGAATTAGCAAAACGGGAAGCGAAAATATACATGGCATGTAGAGATATGCAGAGATGCGAAGCTGTAAGGTGCCCAGTACTTTTATTGTAAATTGTAATCTACTATTTCAGGCTAGGGAAAAGATAGTTTTAGATACAAAAAATAAGTACGTTTATTGCCGAAAGTGTGACTTAGCGTCGTTAGATTCAATAAGACAGTTTGTTAACCAATTTAACAAAGAGGAAAAACAGTTGGATATTTTAATTAATAATGCCGGAGTAATGCGTACACCGAAAGATTCTAAAACGAAGGATGGTTTTGAGATGCAGCTTGGGGTTAATCATTTTGGACACTTCTTATTGACCAACTTATTATTGGATAAGTTAAAGATTCCAGCTCACAGTAGAATTATAAACCTTTCAAGTGTTGCACATGAAAGAGGAACCATTAATAAATTAGATTTAAATAGTGATAAAGAGTATGATCCCGGCACTGCATATTCTCAAAGTAAATTGGCCAATATACTCTTTACGAAGGAATTGAACAATCGATTAAAAGGTAATTAATAATCCCCATGAATACTGTATAACCTTATTGCAATCATCTAGGAACTAATGTGACTGTTAATTCGGTGCATCCAGGTATTGTAGATACCGAATTATTTCGTCATATGGGCTTCTATAAGAGTTGGTTGGCTACAATCTTTATAAAGCCGTTTGTGTGGCCATTTATAAAGTCGTCGAGACAAGGTGCCCAAACTGTCATATACACAGCTGTAGATCCTGAATTAAATAATGTCTCTGGAAAATACTTTAAGTAAGGCAATCTAATTCTTCGTAAATTTTGTGGTAACTTTGTTCTTAGGGATTATAAGGAAACTAAAGTGTCTAATGCTGCTGATGATGATCAGACTGCTAAGTGGTTATGGGCTGTGAGTGAAAAATGGACGCGACTATTACAATAATAAATTTACAGAACTGGAGTAGTTTAACTAAAGTCCTTCATAATGTACTGTACATATCTGAATTTGTTATATTGTTTTACTTTACTATCAGTATTGTACATACTCGTTCTGTTACACCGTTACAAAATGATTCTTTGTATCATATCAAATGCACAAGCCATAATAAAAAAAGATGCAATTTGGCAAATACTTATAGCTTCTCAGTATATAGGTTGCAAATAACTTCTAGTATATGACCCCACTGAATCATTGAACATTTGCACATCTTATTGTAGCCATAACAGATTTTGATTTCAGTGGATCATTTAATATTGTTTACTAGTAATGACGATATAATGTTTAGGAAATTGTTAAATTTTGTACCTGCATCCATATGTACCTCCATCGTTTATAAACATCCAGTCAACATTTTGTTAGTCTTCCATTTAGTTGAAATATATGTATATTGCACTAATTGGTCTGAACTAAAATTAACTTTTATCAGTCATTGAATTTATTACGAAAATCATGCTTCATCGTATAAGATCGGCATTAAATTCGAAAGTAATTCCCCTTGTGATCTGAGACTTAAGAGACATGTTTCGTAACTCAGTGGAGTAATCGAGACATAATTGATTGGTGTTTGTGGCATGTATGATAAGTTGCCTATATTTATGTAATTGCCTACATGTATGTGTTTTCTCCTTTCCGAGCCGCAGTACTTATTTATTAAGTTTACCTACCGCCCACCTAGATATTTTTTTTATATTATGAAAGTTTACCATGTCTAATTTCGATCAAATGTACTTAATTGGAGTACACACTTTTATCTTCCCCGTTAAGTAGCAAGAATGAGTAACAGATGTCGCCTTGCACGAATTGCCGTGACGATAGTATAATTAAAATACGTAAGTTGTAATGGCTACTCATGTGTTGCTCAAAATTTCAAGGAATAATTAGTTTGGTGTGCATTTTTACGTCGTGAATTGTTCCTTTTCGAAGAGCATGTGATACTAGTGTTCTTGGAATAAGCATTTAAATACCTGGTAAGTGTTTGAATTTCGTCGTATTGATAATAACGTTGTGGAAATTGATAGGAAAGTACTTATGTTTTACGATACGTTAAAAAATAGTTAAAACACTTTTGGCACGACAAAAAGGTTACATATTTGAATATATCTCCTACTATTATGTTAAAGTAAAGGTATTACTGTTAACATAATAAGTGCTTTACTTTTAATCAGCCACTGCAGTTAGGTTATAAAGGCTAAATAAACATAGGCAGTAGGCAGGTAGTGAAGTAACCCGATTTCGTTTTTGTGGGCCCTGTATATAATTTATCAAAGGGTAGACTACCCCACGTAGAGAAAGGTCACTTATTTTTCATAGGCACTTTTGGCTTCTTTTTTTTATAATATGCTGGAATACCTACTACTGTCAACATATGGACATGGCAATTGTATTTATTTATTGTTTATATTTGCTATTAAAAATAAACACAATTACTCATAGTGCGGTAATCACGTTTTATACGAGTTTTTTTTCTTAAATTTTTCATCCGTTTGTCATACCCACCTGCCCAAGCCAAAGGCAAAACATGTAGGTATTATTAATTGGTACTTCCATTATACTAAGCCTTATATGGTGTAAGCATTACATGAATAATACACATTAGAAATGTGAATATTATCACTTTTGTGCTTTCTCTAATAAGACGTAAAGTAGGTTTAGGAGAGAGTTTTACAAAACTGATTAATCAGTTAGGAAATGTAAAGGTTGAGAAAGGTCTCCTTTTTTAACGAGACTTGAATTATCTCTAATATAAATGTTGCAATTTGAATTAATATCAGAATGTAAAATATAATACGATTATAGTAAAAAAGAACTGCCTTTGGTCTATACAGGGCCTTTCAAACTTAAGTGGGCACTATTGCCTTCGTTTTTATAAGAAGGTGATACATATTATAAGGTTGGTTTTTTGACGCTGATTACTATAGTTGATTACAATGGTGAAAACAGAAAACAATTGACAGTATCATTCTCAATATACCTACCGATAAAAACATTATAAGCTTTTACTCGACATTTACTACTGAGTCGGCGTGAGCATTTTTAGCTTCCTAGCGGTAGCTAAGTGGCTATTGTTTAAATACACTTTTATCAAAGAATTTAAAAATGCTCATACAAAACCCACCCAAAAAATAAATTACTCAACATTCCTTTTAAATAAATAAGGTACCTAACTAATTCACTTGTTTTTCCATACGTGATTTATTCCAGGATTTATTAAAATTAAAATTGTTTTTTTTTTAGTGTAAGCAAGCGGGTGTGACTTGATTATTTTTAAGATTTTAAAAAAAGTTTTAACTGCAGGTAGTTCATAGTTGTAATATTTATGAATCAAAAGGTTTGTTTAAAAAATGGAATTAGTCACGCATTCACGCATGCGCAAACCAATTTTAATGAATGTAATAGATGTAGGTACATATATCGTTCTTAATTTGCCGTGGAATTGGAAGTTTCGAATTTTCCTAAATTTTTTGCCTCCGATTCTCTTTTCTTGATTATCATTTGTCTAAACCTCGGTCAAAACGAGTGTCCTCGGGAGTGTCTAAACAATGCACCTTAGTCCTTAGGGGAGGCCTCTCCCGCAATAAGTTGTTTCAGAATCGGACGTACAGATCGAGATACAGATGGACAATAGCTAAGTGTTTCCACTCGGTTTTTTTTGTCTAATTTTTTTGAAATTGTTTTCTTGGTTTCTATCAGGGACAGTGCACGAAGGCACTAGACAAACCACCGCGTGTGTTCTATTTGGGGAAGATCCCATTATGACGCAAACGTGATTAATTGCAATCTGCAATCGTCCGGAATCCAATGTATCGATACCGCCCACCACAGTACTTAACCGATTAATCTGAAAATCTGCCGTATTGGAACCACGATACAGGAACCATCAACTAAGTAGGTATAACCGAGGGTATAACAAATTATGCAGTAGCAAGTTTGTCATGTCATGGGTCTTTTTGGGTCAAACCGAGGGTCAAACTAAAAGGGGAAAATCAAATTGTAAATATTCCCTTGTTTAAGAGATGCGGAGAAAAGTTAAAAAAATGCAATTTCAGAATGACGTTGTAGGTAGGTACGTATATTTTTAGGAAATATTGTTTATTTAACATTTCTTTATTAATTCAATATCAAATTATAATCACAGCAAATCTCCAAAATGTATTTACTTGATCGTTGTTATTTTTCGTCTCCCTAGCAACCCATCTCATAGCTACCTTGCCATCGCCACATATTGTTTTATAAAAATGTTTATTACAAACGTTTGTTAATAATGATTGTTGAATAATCTGCCGTTTTCAAAATTAGTATACGGGGTCAGGTAGGAAAGCCATGGAACACTCTGTATATTTTAAGATAGTATATTACATCTTTAAATAATAACACAATGAATAATGTGTAAAAAAATAAAAAAGGTTTAAGAAACGGTGCAAATATAATTCAAGACCCTGTTCAAAACTAAATAGAATATTGAATTTTTTAAAATTTTTTTAATTATATTTGAATCAATTTTAAAATTTTTTGAATTTTTTAGTGTTATATTGGTCTGCGCATTGATTCCAGGCCAAAGAAGACCATACACCAAACACTACCTAGCTAGCTCTTTAATTATAATTTTCCCAGCGCATATCTTCATACCTGCACAGAGGGAAGATTCGATACTGATCTCAGTTATTTTTATAACTCCTAACAGACAGTGGGTAATTTTAAAATCCTCAAATTCCAAAGCGGCTTCCACTAAATTCTGACAAATGAACTTTGGGCTAGAATCCAACAAAACTAATCGTGATTTAAAAATGAGACTGCATTGTCGTTAATAGTGAAAGGTCCGAAATAGCACATACATTTTTAATTTACGTGAAATTACAATGTGACTTTCAGCCGATGTCGGTGTAATCACTCTCATGTTCATGATGAGCAGCCCATTTGATCTCTTGGATTGAGCAAACAAAACCTTGTCATTGTAAATGTAGCGATTCTCACTATTCAGAACCGAATATTACTCTTTATCCAGAGCAGATGCAGAAGTCATCGAGAACAAATTTTTACCCGCTTCCGGAACAAACCACACATCCTTTCGGTAACCCTTTTTACTCTTACCATTGACAATCATTTCAATGTTGAAAATGCCCTTGCCAAGCGCCTTCATTAATTGATCATTTACGTACTTTTCTGGGAAAAAAATCCTCAAAAGTAGAAAATCAATTACTGTTCATGGTCATGTGCTGCGTTGCACCGGTATCTGCAATCCAAAAATTGGGGGAATCCACACATTTTGCGATATCCGATTGGCTGACAAACTCAGATCCTTCCTAACTGGTCAGACTTGGCTTCTTGGATTCGTACAGTCCCGCTTATAACCTTTCTAATATTTTGGGACACACTTCTTTGACTTGTCGTCACTCCAACCGCCCTTACCGTGACCATTCCCCTGCTTGGGTTCATTAGGCTAATTTTGACTTTCAAAATAGGCAGCATCCTCAGTAGAACTATTTGAGAAACTTCTATCATTCAGTCGCTACTCAAATACACACAACCTCTCCCGAAGATTATCCATGGTTAAATTTTCTTAGGTAGGTACTGATTCCCAAGCATTAATAGTACAGTCAAATTAGATCAAATTTCCACGAATAGCGGAAGTAATTGAAAGAAAGCTGAAAATTGGTATAGAGGTACATTAGGGCTTGTATTCGAACATACTAAAAGTCGGGACCAAAACTCCAATGGCTGGAGCCGCCATCTTGGAAAAAAGGTGCTCCAAATCACTTTTTCGCTGATATCTCGGTAACCGTGCATTCTAGCAAGTAAAGTTTCATATAAAAAAAGAAAGATAATAAAATTTTGTATAAAAAAGATGGTATGCACTTTTTTTGTATTTTCGATATTTACGTCGATATTCCACATTGAATATAGAGCATACTCTTTTTTCCGATGTAGGTGCATTACTTTCAGCGCTCGCGTGCTTTAAACATGAATATGTTTAAAAAATTGATTTAGTTGACATTTTAGGGCCTGTTGACCAGTGAAGAGAAGGGCAGTTTTATCTAAAATTAAACACTTACGACCTATCGTACTCACTCAACATATGTGTTTTGTATTTCTCGTTAATACAATCACTGTTAATGTATGGAATTGTTGGCTGGGGGTATTTTATGCTATAGTGAATCCTTATACAGCCTTATACAGGGTGGTGCCTAGCACGACGCAGCACAGGGATGTCAATGGTAATTTCTTTATAGTCAATTACTAGCTCCCCTAATTATTTTAGAGCAAAAGTCTAAAGAAGTTTTTGTAGAGAAAAAAATACTGCATCTGTTCATACTATTACCAAAGAGTACCCCTCTTTCCTATATTACTTATATTATAACTTTC